CTCAAAGCTGTGATTGAGAATCATATATGGCTGCTGGGACTCTCCAACTCACTAATCAACCCTATAGTGTATGCCATTTGGCAAAGGGAAGTGCGGCTGCAGTTGGTAGCCATGTTTTCCTGCATTACAGGCAGCTCATTGGCAGCCAGAGCAGCTGTCACAGAGAGAGGCGACCCACAACCAAATGTGCAGACTCAAGCCTCTGCTTCTAGAAGGGACACACTAAACCCTGCACTCTTGCAACCAATCACCAATGATGAAGCTCATGCAGGACCACAAACGGCCACAACAAGTCTGTGAAATAAACTGGGAAACTCGAGATATACTACAAAAACACATGTGAATGATTCTCTGAGGGATAACGCATTGATTAATAGGGTTTGTAACCCCTGAAGTACATTATTATTATTATTATTATCACTAAATATGATGCTTTTTTTAAGTACCATATTTGCACCTCAGGCTTCAATGTGATTTCACCCAATTCCTTCAAGCCTGACTACGAACAGGCCACGGAGCTAATAAAGTTCAAGTCAAAACTTTTGCTTTCTTTGTTTGTCTAATTTAATTATTTGAATTATGCTATAGTTCTGATGCATATTTGATCTGCTTAATCTGTATAATATTTTGGCAGGGAAAAAAATCACAAATATCATCTGACAGTAAAGGGGAAATCAGGTTTATGTCATCTGTTTTAGCCATATATTTATTAGTTATGATAAATTATGAAAAACCAGGGTAATTCCTGAAATATTTAGGAGTGAGGCCAGTACTTCTCTTTGGTACTCCCTGTGCTGAATGACTGTAGGAGGGAGAAATGTGAGCACAACAACATTTATTCCGTTGCTCCATGTGAAACGAGGGGTCAGAGGTCAGTGATAGCAGGGGGCAGGAAGTTCAGTGCTTCAGTTCACAGACTTTGACGTGCACTCCTGATAAGTCTGGAGGGGTTCAGACCAGTCCCAAGATTAGAATGACTAGAATTACCGAATATTTACGCCCTTTATGCCCACTTACTGCAAGCCTGATATTCCGCAGAGACTCAGAGGACATTGTCTGTGTACAGCCTGGAGAAATCCCACAAGGACGTGGGATGAGAAGCCTGTTAGAAAGTCAGTATACAAGTCTCTGGAATCTCCTGGCTCTCTATAAATGACTTTGATGTCACACCGTGGTTTGTGGAGCCATGTTTTTACTTTGATAATTTCTGCCAACATGTTAGGTGCGGCTGTGTGCAGACAGGAAAAGGACCCAAGGTGCAGACTCCAGAGACAGATGTAAACTCAAAAACCGTTTTAATGTTAAACTCAAATATAACATAACGGGAAACGATCAAAAAATAAACTAACACCGGAGACACAGAGAAACACAGGGCTTAAATACACAGAGGGAGCAATCAGGGAATGGGTAACAGGAGGGAAACACAGCTGGGGCAAATCAGGCCTAACGAGACAAGAGGAAGCAAAACCAGACACATTAACATCAGACATGGACTTTCAAAGTAAAACAGGAAACACATAACACAGACTGAACAAAGACACAGACTCATATGCAGGCACTACAAAGGGAACAGAGACGTGGGAACAGGGCAGACACAAACACTGACTGAACACGGGGATATAGGAACTTAGGATACACATAGACGCGAACTAGACAAGGGGATGCAGGTGATAGGGGAGACATAAGCCATAAGACGGAACTCAAAGAAACCAAAAACTAGACAGTATAAATAATATCATAAACTCAAAAACCCTGGGTCGACGACCCAGGCATCCTAACACAACATCCATGTCAGTTTCTTTAGCCAGAAGTGTTCATATTTAGATGACGGGGTGGAGTGCTAAGTTATCAGACTAACTGATAATTTGTCAAAATGCTGATAAAATACTGGAATTTCACTCACAAACTCTGGAGCACATCACAGTGGTCTGGTTAGGTCCTGGGTTCAAATCCACCATGTAGCTGGGGCCCTTCTGTTTCAAGTTTGCATGCTTTCCTGTGCCTTAATAAGCTTCTTGAATTGGATGGGCAAAAGAAGGTGGATGGATGAAACTGCAGCACAGAAAACTACAGAGCAGACCTTAGTATTACCCAAACAGTTGTCCCACAGGTAGGTCCTGGCAGGAGGGACATGTGTGCAGTAGCTAGCACTACCACCTCACAGCAAGAAGGTCCTGTTCTCCCTATATCGGTGTGGGTTCTTGTGGTGTACTCAGGCTTCCTTCCATCAACTGGCCCTTGATGTAAATGTGATTATGAATGGTTGTATGTCTCTGTTAGTTGGCCCTGTGATACAACCAAGGTGAAGAGGTCGACCAGTGATACAGTGTTTACACTTTACCTTTCACACAAAGCAGCTGTACCAAAAGGACATTAGCTTTTTACATCAAAACTTCACTACAGAACTTGGGATAACACAACAGTGTTGTGTAGTGAGGATCAGGTGATCGATCCCAGTCTGTATGTCTCGGGCAAGATACTAACCACACGTTACTCTCCGATGCATCCATCGTAGTATGAATATGTGTGAATGTTAGATAGGAAGCACTTAGGAACAGCGTAGAAAAAAGTTCTTGGGTGAATGTACAAGTTGAATGTACAGCACAAAAGCGCTATATAAGAACAGGTCCATTTACAACCAGAACATGTAGCAGTCTTCAGTTACAGTGACCACACAGTCAGTTAATGAGCTGAAGTGCTGCCACTGTTATTCCTTACACAAGTAGTGCAGTTAGCTCTTAAGTGATTATTAAACTGGCAACATTCACAAGAGTCTGAAGAATTCTCATCTTTTTAGGACCTAAATACTCTTAGTTGCTATAAAATCCTTTTAACCATCATTTTGATAATTTTACTGACAAAAAATCTTCAACTGGATAAAGATGGAAATTTCCAGATTTATCACAGGAAAAAAGCAAAATTGACAACCTCATCTTGCATTTAAAATTACAGCCTATGGCTTTAGATATGCAGTGTCTCTTTGGTGAAAAGTAAACTGAAGTCATACGGATCATAAACAACATGCAGCTGCATGTCTGGAAACAGGCGGAACCGATAACGTTATCAATAAATTGTGCGCCTTGGCTCTCGGACACATTTTGTTTTCATCCTGTTTTATTACATCCATGTAATTTCAGCTGATGACTCTCAGATAGCCGATGAGCCGGCTGTTTTTCGAAGTAGCAGCTATTGCACATGTAACATTTCATACCTGGATAACTGTTCAGTCATGGAGACTTCCTCGTCTACTTAAATCTTGAAATTACCGTCCACTTTACATGTCAGCAGTCTGTATCAACAAGGCAGTTACACCAGCAAATGTCAGAGATTTCAGCATGAGCTTAGATAGCTGACATTTACTTTAGACTGATAGGCTGCAGCATCTACATTAAGCACAATAAGCTCAGCTAAAAATCTGAACAAATATTTGTCATTACATCATGCTGCTCTGTGCCAGCATGGTCACTCAGATTACTTTTGCCATAGAGATCACTCATTATAGTTACAGTGAATGTTAAAAATGGTCATTGGTGGCTGACTCTGAGAGACTCTGTCCTTTTTTAGTAGCTCTAAGGCCCAAATCTTGACTACCACAAACTTTAGTTCACCCTCCTTCTGTTCAAAACACATAAAATTCCCACTTTTTAAAGTTTTTGTTCTTTACATACCGGGTGTGTTTTTCAAATGTGAATTTATCGTGTTACGTACTTACACACCCAAACATGAACTTCTTGATGAAATAGGAATCTCCACATTCTTCCTTTTTTGTTTAGACATTATGACCAACTTATAAGATAAGATAAGATAACCTTTATTAGTCCCACATGTGGGAAATTTGTTTTGACACAGCAGAAAGTGGACAGTGCAAAAGTTATATAGCAAAAATTAGAATACAATACAAATAACATACTGTACACAACTGTACAGAATAGAATGGAATAAAATAAAATACTATATACAGTAGAATAAAATAGAATAGAATATACAATAGGATAAAAATATAATACAAATTCTATATACAACTGAGTAAAAATACTCTTTCTATATTATTATTATATTATTTATATTAATATTATTACTTTATTTTTTATCTTTTGAGGATGAACTTGTTGCAAAAATGCAATCCTTTCAGTGTGTATACACACTGTAGTATGCAAGTTTGCATCTGAAAAACTCTGGAAAAACAACATTTTGTGTTGTTTTTTTCTTTAGACATTAACATGATTTCACATGAGCAGAAAGTACTTTTACAAAAAGAATACTAATTAATCATATAAAACAGCAATTCTATACTGGGGACCTCTCCAGGGTTTACACAGATATTCTCCACCCATTCCTGCAACCCTGAATGGGATCAGCACTCAGGGACAGAATAAATTTCGGACACATCAAATCTGAAATCTTTATTACAAACAGCTGACAAAAAAAAAAAAATCGAAAACATGGAATTAAGTACTGTGTGGATTATACATCATGGTGGGATTATTTCAAACAGGAATGCTCTTTGAATCTATAAATACAGCTGAAAATTCAATTCAGAATTAAAAACCAAGCAATCAAATAATCTGCACTCTTTAGTTAGAGCCTGAGGTAGATGTTTAGTGCGTCTTTGTATGTTTGTGTGTGTGTGTGTGTGTGTGTGTACATGTTAAAAGATCTTTGTGAGGACAGAAAATTGGCATGCCACTATACTTGTGAGGACGAACAGTCACTTATGGGGACAAAATGCCTATTCACACGAGTTTGAAGGTATTTTTGAGGCTCAAAATGTGGTTAAAGTGTCAGGGTTACTATTAGGTCATGGTTCGGTTTAGGCTACGGGTTATAGTATGGTATTCATTTTTGATGGTAAGGCTAGGGAAAGCATTATGCCAATGAGAGGTCCTCACCACAGATGGACAGTAACGTGTTACTGTCCATCTGTGGATTACTGTCCAAAGTAATCCGATTACTTTTTTAAAGTAACGGGTAAAGTAAGGGATTACTATTGCAAAAAAGTAATGAGATTACTGTTACTTTCCCGTGAGCACGCTGCATTACTGCATTACTAAACTGTCGTGATGTTGTTTGTTAGAGTGTCACATGACAATGATGTACGAGCGACATCCGTGGCAGCAACAGACGTGTGTAGATCAACAATGGATAATATGGAGTGCAGGAGAGAGTTTGACCATGCAGCATTTAAAGCATGGACGTACTTACATTACTTTAAGTTTTATTCCGTAAAAAGTGACAAAAACATTAGCGTCTGCTGTACAGTCTGTGTGGGAAGAAAGCTAGTTTCCACAGCAAAAACTTGAACTTCAAATCTGAGCAAGCACCTAGCACGCTGCCACGGGAACGTGAAATTCACAGAGAAACCCCCGGATCCTCCCACTGACGTGACACTGGTCCTCACTAAGATATGAAAACATGTGTGCATGTGTGTGTATGTGCGTGTGTGTGTATGCATGCATTAGCTAGCTGCACTGCTGCTGCTTCTACGTCCTCAGTGGGCTGAAGAACGGGTGCCACAGTGCCTCCTCCAGGGTGATCCGTCTGGACACATCATATTCCAACATGCAGCTGAGCAGATCGAACAACTGCCTCTCCTCCTCGTTCTGCGTCTGCATGTACACCTGAGAGACAGAAATAATCAGATTTCCTACAGCTACCAGTCCCAGCTCACAGCTGAAGCTGACTGGTTGATGTGAGTGCCGGGTACCTTGAGAGGTCGACAGTGTTTCCTGATGTATTCATCGTCCCAGTTCAGACAGTCGCTGTGCACATAATGCTTCTTCCTACACAGATTACACGCACAGTGTTTATATTCAGTTGCAGACAAAAACACTCTGTCAACACACACAACACACTACTTCAAATTACACCTGGCGCTGAGGAGAGCATATTCACAAAAGAGATCATGGATAAGCTCTATATCACCATTTGGAGACCCTTGCTGCTATATTTCATTTTCCTGCAGATGCACAATCTTTTTAATCAAAGTGTTATTTTATATATTTTTTGTTCTTTGTGCACAGTTCCTTGGACAGTTCTTTAGAAAAATGCTGCATATAAGAGTTGTTTATTGGCACATGCACAGTGTCTGTTTGCACAAATGTAATTCAGCATTTCTGCCATGTTTAATATGATTTCTTTTGGATTTGAAGTGGAAATGTCTCTCTCATCATCTGCATCTGTGGGTGCAAATATGCATTCATTTGCAGACTATGGGGAAATTCAGCTGAACTTTGTGCTATATGAAAAGTTACATTCAGAGTATTCACCTCAGTGTTCAGATGTATGTAATGAAGTGCTCTTTCAGTATGCAGTGCAGGCTGATTGCAGGAGTGCCAGTTAAGGCACTCCTGCACTTAACTGGGACTCAATTAGGGATGCTTTTATGCAGCCTCCATGGGTACGAACGACCTATGAGACCCTGAGAATGGTGCAGAAAACCCTTTGGGAAGGATCTTTGTAGGGGCAATGCATAATTAGACTGCTCTATGAGCCCTTTTGTCTAGTCATGGTTTCATGCCATGTTCTCAAATGTCCTTAGTTATCATTTGTTGCTCTTCTCTATTCGCTCTCCTGTTATTAGTTCTGTGTTTTCTCTTGTAAGTTGTAAGTATGACTTTTCAACAACCACAGTCCTCCAGCTTCTTGATTTCATTTGTCTTTGACATCAAAATACAAGAACATCTGATTCACACACACGTGTGTGTGTGTGTGTGTGTGTGTGTGTGTGTGTGTGTGTGTGTGTGTGTGTGTGTGTGTGTGTGTGTGTGTGTGTGTGAGAGAGAGAGCTATTTGTGTAGCTACCTGGTCTGTTTGAGCAGATGTGGAGGGACCGGTCCGAGGACTTTCTCCATCATGGCCAGATGTTCTTTACTGTCATGGGTCTGAAACAAAACCAGCAGTTATACTACTGTGTGTGTGTGTGTGTGTGTGTGTGTGTGTGTGTGTGTGTGTGTGTGTGTGTGTGTGTGTGTACCAGGAAGAGTGCACGTCCTAGGTAAAACTCCATCATGACACAGCCCAGACTCCAAACGTCACATGACTGGTTCCAGCCCAGACCTGAAATGTAGACAACTGAGCTTAATTCTCTGAGTGTTCATGTAGGAGTGTGTGTGCATGTGTCAGTTGTTTGTGTACCAAGTATGACTTCTGGAGCTCGGTAGTAACGTGTTGAAACCAGGGATTCATGGGGTTCGTGGTCAAATGTGGCATTGCCAAAGTCCACAACCTTCACATCAAGACTCCTCAGCCTCTTCTCCTTACACTCCTGACATAAAAATGGACGCATACACACAAACAGGAACACACACACACACACTCTCTAGTAAACATCCTTCATCACATAGCAAACCTTAAAATAAAACCATGACGTGATATTGCACTCTTACCAAGTCCTCATTATACCCCAGGTGATAGTCAGAGCGCACAAACAGGATGTTCTCTGGCTTCAGGTCTGTGTGGGTCAGTTTGTTACGGTGCACAACTGCAAAACACACAAAAATACACAATACAATTGTGCATGAAATCAACCATTTTTTAAACTGAGCAACACAGTGTTCGACTGTCCCTGTAGAAGGCAAAAAAAAACTTTTTTTTAAATGAATCAGTAATTTTGCCTGTTTGTCAGCTACTGTTGATCAAAATAGTGGCAGACAAGCTAACAGGGTTACGCTTTGTTACACTACATTAGTTTTGATTTCTCTCCTAAAATGATGTAAAAACCCACAAACAATAAAAAAGTCTTTAGAAACTAAGAGATGTTTCAGTCCCAAGATCGCCAACGTAAACAGTCACCTACAACGCCCAGTCTCACAGAAGTAAACACCCGACTCACAGCACACAGCTTTGAAGATCTGGAAGGCCATGTGTCTAATCTGCTCCACGCTGAACGGCAGGAACTCATTCTGTCGGAGAAACTCAAAGATACTGAGGCCGAGCAGCTCGAACACGATGCAGACGTGGCCTTCATGCTCGAACCAGTCCAGCATCCTCACGCAGGCGCTGTCAGAAGACACGATAAATCACTTTAATAATGCAATCGCTGGAGATTAGAATGAGAAATGAATGCAAACAGCAATAACACAGCTATTCTTTCCTGCAGCCTGTCAGTTAAACAAGAAGAAAAAAGATTTAACTGAATGCTGTCAAGGAAAAATGTAACCCCCTGGATTTCATGTAAGCTACACTTACAATCTGTTATCATCATCCAGGCGGTTGATTTCCTCCAGCACAGCGATCTCAGATCTCGCTACTTCACAGAAACACTCAATGTTCTTCACTATCTTCACAGCTACGTGCTCATCTCTGTTGAACAGACACAACATGCAGAGGTGTATATGAGGTTTAAAGCTGATATGGACCTCTGAATGTTGAAAACAAAAAAAACATATAATCTCGAAGCACTAGAAATACCTATTAATTCCAAGGATTTTTCAGCATGCATGCTTACTTCTCTCTGTCTATACACTTCACTACTTTTCCAAATGCTCCTTCTCCCAGTGCAGAGACAACTTCATCTGGAAAGGACAGACAGATATTTATTTGGATCACCAGTGCAGTCCAGAGCAGAGCACTTTTAAAACACTCTAAAACACACTTCCTGCAGCTTCTGACTTGTCACAAACACATTTGAAAAGTCAACTAGTCGCTTTCCTTTCATTCTTCTTCCACAGCCAGACGATTGTGTGATGCTTCCAAATTATGGCATAAGGTTTAGTTCAAGTTTAATCACAAACCATTTGGTTAATTTTCAGTAATGCATTCCAGCAAATTAAAAAGTGAAAGGTTTAGCATCCTGGACTAAGTGCCTGAGAGTACATTTATTGTACAAAAGAGGAATTGAATTAAATAATAAGCCAGTTCCTCTGTACCAGTGAAAGTAGTCAGGTGATCACGGTAACAGGAAACTATTTCTAGAGTTGCTATTCTGGTGTCAGTTGCCCTTTTAGAAGAAAAAAAGCATAAGGGGAAAGGGGGGAAATGTGATGAGTACATCTTTCTTTCATCACGAGGCCGATGTGATAGGCCAGGTGGCCCTCTTCATCATCCTCACAGCTCTTTCCCCTCTGACCCTCCTCCACTTCATCATCATTGGCGCTGCCAGCGTTGTCATCAGCCTGAGCGTTGGTTGTGTTTCAGTCAGATATATGGATAAGAAGCGAAAGAGAAAAACAGAGTGTCAATTTGAAAAATGTCCATTTTTTCATAGAATTTAATTCCAATAATGGGATAGTTTGAAATCATAAAAGACTCAGTTCTGTCCTTTTTTATATATTAAGATAAAATCGTAGAAGTGTTGAGAAGCCATTAGATTATATAAGAAATGTCTAGCAAGCTAACGTTTTCCAAACAGCAATTTAATTGCCGATGTTCTGGGATGTGTTCCCATTCAAAATAAGACGAAAGTTCAACTACAAAAATATATTTTATATACAGATCCTATTTCATCGACTGAATCACAGTGGATTATTTGGGGTAATCATATTACACAAGACCCTGCTGTTGCCATATTAGATGATGCTTCTAGTTTTGATGGGTTACTCATTCACACCTGTTATTTTTCATCTGAATTAGCAACAAATAATATAATGTAATGCACTGTATATAATGTAATTAATTAACTAATGTTAATGTACTTAACAATAAGGAAAAAAAGCCTCAGGCAAACTTAGGGGGACTGAGCAGAAAGAAGATTATCCAACCAAGTTATGAGTTTCTGAGGTGGTGCGGTGGATGCACTGGTTGAAACTTCCAGTCTTTGTATCCGTTTGTAAATCAGGTTTGGAGTCATCGCCATCTACCAAAGGACAGAGAGAGAAAGACTTCAAAACAGTTCCAGGAAACACAGACAATAATTAACCTGTATGAGGATCACAGTAACAGATATTATTAAAGGCCAAAACCTAAGAGGAAATAACGTTACCTCTCCAGTACTTGGAGTTGTCATCCTTTCTGCCCATTGCAGTGTTATCAACACTCTACCTGACTCAGGCCTCTTCTCCACACTCTGGTAGTGTCTGCAAATGTAAGGAGAACGTATTTTCAAAAAAGGCTTTGTGAAAGCTTTAAAAAGCAAAAAGGACATTTCACATTTAGCTTCACAGACTAAGGAGTGAATCGCACACTTTAGCATTAAACTTTACACACACGTGTGAGGCAGCGTTATCGTACTAGAATTTAGGAATGACAGGTGCCAAACAAACATTATCGATACAAATATATAAATTCTTTACTGGCACATTATCAGCATTTTAAGCTTAGGATCTTTTACTCTTACATGAGGCCAGTACAAATTCCCACGAGGCAGTGGGAATGTAATCTTGCACTCATGTAATATATATGTTATTTATGCATATCTATATTCATGATTTTATGAACTGTTTTTATTTATGTAAAATGGCTAATGGCAGCAGTGGAAACTTGAGTGATGTAGCTTTTATTAAAAAACCAACATTTATTAATTAACATTAACATTTATATCACCAAAGTAGCGAACAACATTAAAAATGCTTTCCATGAGTAGAATATAACACAGACAACATGCTTTTCTGTGCTGGTAAACATAAAGTGCTTCTAAAAATAGTCAGGAGCATTATAATTTACTGTTGCTGCACCTGAATGAGAAATTTCACTCTTAAGAGTGAAGTGGAGAAACTCTTCTCTGTTTTTTGGAATAATATAGTTGCTCTCCGTGCTATACCTCATATTCTTAACTTTAAGAACATGAGGTATAGCACACAGTCTCAAGGGTTTCGGTTCTTCATCACTGACCTTTTAGAAAAGCCTATATTATGATGTTCTGTGCAGAAGGTGAAGTTAGGGATGTGTAGGTAGCATGATAGCATAATGGTCCATGGGAGATTGTGACCAGCTGTTTAAACATATAAACTGAAAGACAAATCCTTCATGCTTGTCAAAATATGCAGTTTCTTAGTCAACTAAGGGTAGTAGAAGCCCCAAGCTTATTCAGTCACTCAGAATAAGTGAAACTTCTAATAGTCAAAACTACTGCAGTGTGTTTTTGAACTGCGTCATGAAATAACTGCATTTTGGTTTCGCATATGAGACGTTGAGGAGTTTTGCTCTTGAGGGGCTTTTAGGTGTTCCTTTGCAGGGTTCTCTTCCTCCCTCCTGAGACATAGATCTGTCTCTCTGTGCCCGTCTGGGTCGGCTGTCTCTGATCGACTGTAAATCAGCAGTGAGGATGGCTCACTCTCACTGACAACATGTAGGACCGTTGTCACTCACTTAAGAATATCCAACACTCACTCACCAGCCACTGCCAGGAGCACAGAGTACGCCACTCCTAATTACTGATAGGCAGAATAAGAAACCAATACAGCTGAAGGATAGGGCCCAGTAAAAGTGCAGCCACCAAGACATGATCTATTTCAAACATGCTGGTTTACATAAAGGCAATGCCAGTCATTTGTGCCTGTAGTCATCTGTATAGGGATTGATTATTTTTGGCTAGGCAGTGATTTTATTATTACCCAATTGCTTATTTTCTCTAACAAAACTAATTTAACTCTATTTTTGGACGTGAAAAACAAAATCTTCTTCTTAGAAGATCTTCTCTTACTGCTCCAAACAAAATTCACTGCCTAAATTTTAAATCTAGAACAAAGTACAAGGTGTTCCTGATCGGATGTGTGGACAGTGTGGGTCTTGTTTTAGCCATATGCCACATTTTTACAAGCTAGGAAAGGATTTCAAATTATATTGCGCACATTTTGATGTTAAAAAATTTGGACAATAACTTAACCCTGACCGAATATGGTTAACACCTGACTGATGTTAGGAGGTCAACCATGGAGGCCTCAGACTGACAACACCGTTGGGTTATGAGGTGCAAATAACACTTCTTGAAACACAATAACTTCCTAACAAAACACAATGGCAAAATATTTTTTTAAAAGCTTTTTTGTTTTTGAGTTATTATCTTGAAGTGTTCTTGTGCAAATACAAACTGGGGAAAGGAAATGCTGTTTGGATTAAAATCAGGTCAGAGTTATGGTACCTTGTTACTGTAAAAGGGAAGCTACTTCCTTCAGGAATGATTAAAAGAAACAGCTGTTGACTGGATATAAATCAGGAGGCAGTCAGCAGTCTGAAGATTTAAGATCTCTGCAGAGGGCTGCTTTGTGACATCAGCCTGCTTTCTTCTTTACTTCTAATAACAATTTCATAACCTCAAGAGTCTTTGTCATTTGAAAATTACCATAAAATGCTCTCTGGACAACTGCTGAAACAGCCAAAGTTGCTAAAGTTGACTTTTACTGTGTTCCTTTAAGTTCTATTCCTTTGTACCCTTTTTCTATATTACGTAATAGGACAGTGACTGCTTTAATTGGAGGGGATTATTTAGTTCAGTTCAGTTGTAGTTTAACAGGTCATCTGATACAGCTGAAAATACACTTAGATGAAATCTAACAACAGCTCTAACTGTGCTCTGAAAGCTGTCCAGACCACAGAGCTCCAACAATCAGCACTGTGTCTGCTAACACACTGCTGCTGTGTACAGTCCATGCATGCGACACACTAAGAATACTGCAGGACAGAATGAGATTCTGTCTTTTCACACCACAGGTTAAATAAAGCAGCAAAGTGAAATGTCACAACACCATGGCTATGAAAAAAATAAATAAAAATTCTGGTTGGCTGGTTAGCTTATTATTGTGCGTCATATAGAGTATTGCTAAAATGCTGGATGTTTATATTAAACGTGAACTAAGCTTCAAATAATGAAAAAAGCTCAGACTTACATTGGCTCTAAATGCTCCTTCCAGACTGATTATTATTATCATTATTATTATTATCATTATTGGCTCTGTAAGCACAGGAAACCCACCCCCCTTCAAATCTGTTGTTTACAAAGAGCATCCAATCAGAATGAAGCTGGCTTATCTTAAAGGGGGTAAAAGGATAAACCATTCCAATGCCCAGTATAAGATACAAAAGGATTATTATTAACTGCAACTCATGCCGAGTTACTTCAGCAGAGTTCAGGAATAACTACATGTAAACAAGTTCAAATTCCAGTGTAACTGTGAAGAACCACATCTTACCTGGGTGCTAAGCACCAATGTACTGCTTCACTTATTCCAAGTTAAAAATAAAACCACTGCATCCAACTCTGTAAGTTATATTGATGGTTTTTTTTCTGTGCATTTATCCTTTTCACAGTAGTGGACATAGTTCTTATAATTTTCATTTTAAACATTTGGTGCACGGTTCATATTTTTTACTTGCATTGCAGCCTACTGCATATCTCCATCAGTTTATAAACAGAAAATCTTTTATAGATTATTTTTATATTTTAAAAGTTGTTATTTAAAAAAAATTTTGCTTTATTTTTTCACCCCACGCCCCCATTGGATGTTTGTCACTGAAGCAATAAGAAAAATTCCTCGACTGTACAAACTCATTTAGCTATAAAAGTAACAATTTAAGAAAAAAAAATCAAATCGAAATAAAATATAATAATATATATCATATAATAAGAACCATACATTATTGTTTGAAGTCAATAATAAACTACTTTAAAAAGCAACATTTGTAACAATTTGCAAAACAGTTAACTGGTTACAACAGATTTTGCAGTGTTTAGTGATAGTGATCTATCTGCTTACCTGTATTTGGAATTGAAGCTGTGGAGTCTTCTGCTTCTCTTCTATCTGCTTTTTGGGCTCTTGCAGGTCTGTTCAAGCAACTTATCGTCCTCTTCGTTAGCTTCCTTGGGCCACTATTCCACGCCCCACCAAAGCAACACAACCACTTGTTGCCACATGGCATAGCTGCCAAAGAAGGAATGGGAAAAATGGCGTCCGTGGTGCAATAAAATATTATGTCCTTCAGGAAACCAAGCCATGGACATTCCGGTGTACTTCAAGGCAGTAAAATCCTCTGCCAGCTGTAATGAAAAAGGACACGGGGGCTGCTCCTGCCTCGACCCTTGGCCTCACCCCGTAAAGGCTCCTCTTTCATCCTTCAGGAGAAAACATAGTGTACTGTGTCTGAAACTGTGGATACAGGATGATGCAGGACATTAGGTGATGTACTCTATGAATGACATGGGGCACACGATCCACCAGCAAATCATACATAACTGTGGTTCCATGTAAGCACAGTGTCACATTAAGGCTTGGATCCACAAAACGTAAGCTATTACTCACTGATACTGTTTTAGAGCAGTATCTTTTATTTTCCGATCTTTAAATTAAATGTTGCAAAGCTAATATAACATAACAAATAATAATAATAAAGTCTAAATACAGCAAATAACAACAAAACATGTTGAAATGTAAGCATAGAACCAGAGTTATGTTTGATAACTACTACTTCGTGAGGTTAAAGTTTTCTCTTCAACACTTAACTTTTGTTGGTATGTGCTGACAAACCCAGAAACATGACAACTGGTTATTCATTCTTCTTGGGATGCTTTATGAGTAAAGAGTTTGTTTTTGGTTCATTTGACAAATTATCATAGATGAAGGACTAAAGGGGATGACATGCATCCAAAATCAAAATGTGGAATAATACCACTGGTTTAATACAAAGACCTACTTAGAGTTCCCAGAAAGTCTAGAACTAATGTTATTATATTGTCAATCTCACTGCTAAATTAGTTGCTAACAGGTTTGTTCTGCTGTATCAGATTGAATTTAGTTTACAGCCTACATAGCTCTGCACTAAAGTGTGAGTGTGATATTCAGTCATCTCTGAATCTTAGAATCTCTGGTCTGATTTAAACCTCTCAACCTTTTAAAAACCCAAACCCCGTCACAGTTCTTGCATATGGTGTTGCTCAGAGTTCATTTCTAGGCCCATAGTTGATTCAGAGGGATCATAGAAGGATCACCTTTTTTCACTGCTTCACAGATGACTGTTCATAAATGCGCTAATTTAAATAAATCCTGTAGTGTTGATCATCCTGGGTCAAAAAGAAATTAACAGCGTACATAATCAAATGAAGGAAAAACCAACTGATGCTTAAACATTAGTAGTTAAAATTTATGTTTGGCTGTTAAAATATCTTAAATTTTACAACTAAATTTTAGAACGACACAAATACTCCTCTAAATATGGTCTAAATGCGGTCTTTTCAATTAGCTGCAAATGTTCAGGGTTTGTGCAATGATGTCAATGCTGGATTTGTCCAGATGAGCTCCATTTTATTACCTCCTGTGATAGAAATGTTGAAATTCCTTTAAAAACGTCAAAAAAAAGCTGCAGCTGCTACTTGTACACATCCAGTTTCACTTAAAAGCAGCTTTATTTACATTTAACACAATGTATACATAAATATTGTAGTCCAAAATATATTTAAATCAGTCTTGTTTATTTGATTCACAGTTTAAGATAAGATAAGATTTAATGAAACCTGATAAAAAACGTATTTAATTGGGTAAGAGGACATGAAAGCGCACTGTTGCATCACTTTGATACTGTTTCACGCCCACCACTACTTAGATTTCTTTTCAAAAACATTCAAAGTAAAGATATCCGCACCTTTAACAACTGGCATTCTTCAAATTCTGAGACAAGAACATGACCGGAGGCTCACCTAAAGAGCTTATTGAAAACGATCTCATGGAAAAAGTAAGCGTCAGAAGTCATTCCTGAGGAACAGATGGAGAGAGGAAAGGAAGGCTTCTTGACATGGAATAAGAGGTTTTACTTGGCACACATGGAAAATCTGAGGCACTGGAAAGCTGCGTTAGTAGCTCGAGTAAACTGAACTTGAGAACAAACGCTAAAACTATTGGCCTTGACTTTTAACTGCATTGTGTGACAGAGTAATCAGTGAATGACAGGATTGCTGTATATATACACTGCAGCTGATGAGTACTCGAATGGGGACAGGTGTGCAGTTCAGAGCCTAAAACGAGCTGAAGGAGCCACGCCCACAGACAGACAGAAGGGGAAACGGAGACTTTTGTCGTGCCAAAGTAGGTATCCCCGACAGAATTTGTTTCCCCTGTGCTGGGGGCACGCAGGAAGTACTGATGCTTTCATTTTGTGAAAAAGTGAAAAATTAGTATCATTACATTACCATTCAGTTTGAGGGTTACAACAGAAAATTATATATTTATTCCTCAGGGGGTATCAGATGGGATTATTTTAATAAACCATAAACATTTTGGCTAATAACTATTTTTATTCTCCTGTAACTTTACTATATAAAGAGCTAAATCCTCCAAAGTTTCAGGAG